CCTGTAATCAAGAAAAACAAAATGTTTTCTACAAAACTTGGAGAGATGATTCTCTGTCACTTGTTCAAAGTCGATAAGTGTATCTTGTTTGGCTGCTTGAAACTGTTGACGTTTCTCATTGAGTGTCAATTGAAGAAAGATGAGATGGGACGAGTTCAAAACAGAATGATCCTTTCTGACACATACTTTTAGTATTTTAGCAATTCTAATTCAAAAGTTTATGAGATTAAAAAGACATTTTCAAAAAAGTAAATACTCATCTCCCTCTGGTGATTACAAAACTGAGGGTTATTATTTTCATCTTATTTTCGTTATTAAAATGAAAGTCTGTTTGCAGATGGCAAAAGGGAAATAGAAGTGAGTTTCCCGTACATGTTGATGTACTTATACACTTTCCAATACCGGTAGAAATTCAGAAAGTCAGAAAAGAGCACTTGCCAGTTTATACCGAGATATGTATGGATCGTTCCTGTTACAGTCAGTAAATCAGAAACTCCGAAAAGATGTACATAAGATGTACATCCGATATATGTTGATGTACTTACACAATTTCCGCTAGAGGCAAAAAGTCAGAAAGCCGGAAAGGAGGATTTTCCGGTATAGTGTGATGTACTTACACACTATCCGGGAGAGGCAGAAAATCAGAAAATCGAACGTCAGAAAGCAGCATTTACCGGTATATGTTGATGTAGTTACGCACTTTCCAGGAGTGGTAGAAAATCAGAAAGTCAGAAAAGAGCATGTACCACTATATAGTGATATATTTATGGATCGTTTCCGGTAGAGGTAAAAAATCAGTCAATACATACTGGCAAATGCTCTGACTTTCTGATTTTCTGCCTCTAGCGGAAAGCATCCATACGTACATCAACATATTCCGGTAAACGCTTTTTTCTGATTGTATATTGTATACTGCTAAAGGCTCTTTTGTGACTTTCTGATTTCCTCTACCTGAAAGTGTGTAAGTACATCAACATATACCGGTAAATGCTCTTTTCTAACTATCTGATTTTATACCCGTAGCGTCAAGTATTTATATCTATATATCAGTATATACTGGTAAATGCTCTTTTCTGACTTTCTGAGTTTTTGCCTCTACCGGAAAGTATGTATATATATTGTAGCGAAAACTGGAATTCGGTGAAATTCTAGATTTCACTATCGAAAACTGGAATCCGACTTTTCCCCGGCAAAAACTGAGATGCATGTGCGTGCACATCCTCGATTAATATTAGAATGAAATAAAAAACTGAAGGTTTTGGACGCTTTAGAGGATGCGAAAATATGATTTTTCGTTAGGAGGTCTATAATTATGGAAGGACACGCATTCAACGACTGCAGGAAAATCTTCTTTCGCCCACCTTATTAAGATCAGAAAAATTTGTACAACAAAAAACAGGTTATGTACAGATGAAAAATACCTCAGGACGAAAACGAAACAAGATCAAATAGAAAGCGGTCTCTTTCATGTTTAGAGTTAACGTAGAGTATAAAATATTATACAATAAAAAGCTTCATAATAGAGGAGTAGTCGGGGAACAGCAGAATAGAGACCGACCAACCGGAATATATTTTGGAACGTTCCCTTAGTTTATCATTTAAAACAACAATATGAAATTCACTAAAATACGCTTATACTTATATCCAAAAATAAGTGAAAATTTATCTTAATTAAAATCCTGTTTGTTTATAACAATTCATGCGAAGATTTATTTAACAAAAAGCATAGCTTATATTACAAATAAACAGAAATAAATAAATGAATACAAAGTTTATTTGTCTGCTTTAATTCGTCGAAGAAAACGATATAGCAATTGCGAATTTCGTTCGCCAACAATCTGAGATAATTCCTAAAAGCCGTATGCCGTTAAAATAGTTATTGAATAATCTCGTTTTTGTTGAATGACTTACTTCTTGACTAGCCGTTAATATAGTGGAAAGACCTGTCGACGAGAATAAAAAAAGAAAAGTATAGAATAAAAAAATATACTATGAATAATACATACTTCCGAAATTGGTTATTAATTCTTCAGCATTCACATCTCCTATTCTTGGCAATACTTTTAATACTTTAATCATTTGACATTCTGGAGATGGTTCACTTATTTGAACTGGTTTAGTACCAGATTCATCTTTTTGTACCTACATCATAAAATTAGGAAAAGTTAATAGATTCAATAAATAAAGGTATCAAATTCAGAAAACTGTACTTTTCATTCTTTTCTCACTGGGTTCTTGAATCCGCGCTTTGGATTTTATTCCACTAATTAGGTCATTCAAGCATAATGAAAGACATTCAATCAAAAACTATGCGGACGCTTTCCTTTTTTCAGCACGTTAGAAAGGTTTTTGTATGTTTAACATCTTCAGAGACATTAGAATATAATTTGATGGATTAATGTGTTCGAGAACGCGTAGTGAGAAGGCGTTCAGCAAGTTTTAAAACCAAAAATAGACATACTTTTCTGGAAAAATGTTTAAACGAGAAGGATTTTCCACTTTTTGGAGAACGGATATCTTTTCAACTGAAAAGAAAACGGATAAATTAGATTGAGAACGGATAACATTGTTTGGAGAACGGTTTTTGAAATTTGTATGATTTCTATTCACTACTTTCCAATCGCGTCTCTGAATATGAACATCGCGAGTATGTTCTACAGTCATATCATTCATCACGTGATGTAGGCCTAGGTCTAACTTTTCTCCAGTTATCGTAGTTTATACTGCATGCTTTAATATTAATTTAGTCAAAAAAATTCAAAAACCGTTCTCTTTTCAGCTATAAAAAGTATCGGTTCTATAAAAAATGCGAACCGTTCTCTTTTAAATTCTTGTCCTACTTCTCTTGTAAATGAAAAAGAATCACATCTTCTCGGTAGCCTCATTCTCTCAAAACGTTTACTATGACAGACGTAATGCAATTCTACTAGATACATATAGAATACGTCTAAGTTTCCACTGTAAACTTTCAAACAGAGCATAACAGTCTTTATAAATTCATTAAAATATAGACGTTCAGGGCATCCTAGCCCTATCCCCCAGGATAGAGTTCCGAGATAGTACATTGGCACTAGGTTAGAAAAAATATTGTAATTATCAAATGATGCGATGCATTGTGGTTTATAAAATTAAATTAACAATAGAAATAACATCTCACACTGTGTTTCCCGCGCTTGTTGTTTGACGTTTCGACAATCCAAAGATTAGCCTTTATGAGAAAGTGTTCAACGCATGTAATGAAAACCTGAATGCTTCAAAGAAAGGACTATGTAATCAATAAACATCATCGCTTTTTAACTTTTAAAAATTTTTATATCTAAATAAAGCATATACATCAGGAATGTCAATATTCAAATCTACTAAACAACGGATCTTTATTAAGATTTTAACTTCTGTTTTTGGGTTCATAGCTCAATAAAGACGTGCACAACATGAATGCCATTTGACCAGGCATGGGCGAGTCCGAAAGGGTACCGAGTCCGAGCGCAGTCCGCGTGCTTAAAAATTCAAGCCCAATAATGATCATTATTACAATGTATTCTCAAAAGTCAAGCTAAAATTTCGAACTGAATGAGAGGATGCTGGTACAGCCGTCATATTACTACTAATAGTGTAATTGATGCTTTTTCTAATATTAATTTTAAGATATATTAATATTCACAATTTCTTTCCAACCTAGCAGCAATGCACTATCCTAAAATCTTGAACAAATCAAATAGTATTAGCTTTAAGAGTCATTACACGAGAGATATGACAGAAGATCGTATATGACTATCACCGATTTTGATGAAACGCATGTAGTATATAGATCTAGGCTAGACAGAAATAGCCTACAAGTCCCGGCTTAAACAAATGTTTCGCTCAAGAGTTACATGCATTTTAAAAGTAGGCGTCACTTCAAAAAAGGTGAAAAATTTTGGATAGTCTATAAAAATAAAATAATTTTTTTGATAGAATTAAAATTTTGCCACCATATATACTCTGAAACAAGCTTTAACCAGTGATAAAATCTAATGATTAGTGCTCATCGAGATGTATAAGAACTATTATTCAAAAGTTTGGAGTATATAATTTCAGTACATAAAATATATTTGAATTAGTAATGATAATGCAAAATAATTCTGATGGTATTGATATATATTGGAGCATAGTAAACTCTACCACTCGATAGAGGAAACAATTCTCTGCAAAATGACAGGTCTTAGGGATCTGTACGATGAATGGTTCATAAAATATAACAACTTCAAACTATGCAGTGAGTCTCAAGGTTATAAGAATTCATTCAAAAACTGTCATATGGCGAAATTGTGATTACGGAGAAAATTCATTTTTATTTTTATAGACTACCCAAAATTTTCCGCATATTTTAAGTTTTTTATTTGTATTCTATTCACATTGATGCTACATTTTTCAATAACGACACCAGAATGTCACCCTCATTGATTATTTAGAACAGCCGAAAAAAATATTCTGTATTCTTAAGAAAATATCAATCATTTACTGAAAATAATAGGACGTTGTTACTAAAAGCGGACATGTCGAATTTTGTGTTTCTTAATCTATTTAGATCACATTTTAATAGGTATGTACTTACTAATAGAGCTAATATCTGTGCCACATCACTATCAACTTCAATAGGTATTACAGGTATATTTTTATTCAGTGATAGAAATTCTTGTATTGAATAAAAATTCTGAGTAACATCAACAAATGCCAGAACGTTGTTATCCTAAAAAATAAAATTCTAGATTATTTTAAATTTAAATAAGATGAGTAACATATGATGATCACTTTAAACGAACATGAGCCAATTTGTTCGCGAAATTGTTCCCCTTGTTGTCGTTCTTTGGTAGCATAAAGTATACAACGATTTCGAATTTGAAAATCAAATAACATATTGTCTTCTACAACAACTTTAACATTCATTTCTAAGAAAAAGGAAAAGAAATGATGACAAGAAAGCACTATGAATGAGACTTACGCTTTAATTTATCATAAATATTTGATGCTCGCCACGTTGATGAAACAAATATTGTACTTGCTGGTACTTTAAGTATAGACATCTGAAGGTAAAAACAGATTTAAATTTTGTGGTATTTAATAAAACAAATATCATGAAAAGCTCGTTCATCACGCTTCAATCGGATCTTTCCATAAATCTCATTCGATCTTGACGAACCATTTGTTTGATCAAAATATTAATTCAAGGTATATTTATTGAAGTAAAATTTGATATCTTTATTCATTTAAATAAACGATTAACTTTTTAAATACACGATTTAATTAAAACATCTTTGTTGAGATTCTTTGGAATAGGTAGGAATTCTTATTTATATGGAATAATCTTTAGAGCTTATGAGTGCCCAAGTCATTTTGCTAAAATATGATCAGTTTTGAGAGATAAATTTTATGCTGACAAAAACCCTATACTAATGACAGTGCATTAAAAAATTGAGAAATTGTAGATATGATCGTTTTCTCTTTCTTGTTTAACTGCTTCAGATAAATGATACATCACGATCTTAACAGGTGTCTTCTATTCCCCATCATTTGTTGTTGTTTTTTGCTAATATTACAAACAAAAGTCAATTGTTGAACGTACTATTATCTCGATATAAGTGTACAGCAAAACGCTATTACATTCATTTATACCTTCGGTCAATGATTGAAGAGATAAGAGGAATTATCAATGCTAATCAAATTAAATGTGAATGATTGACATAAAACTAAACATTCTTGACTGCAATATCAATGGTTAAAAAGTCGATCGATTACCTTGGATAAAATATTATGCTTTCACGATGCACATAATCTTCAACTAAAAGTACTGTCAAACAGTTAAAGATTCAATAATCGAATTAATCAGAGCATTGTGAAAATTCTAACTAAAATATATTGAGTTCTGTTTATAATAAGAATCTTATTATTACGTAAAAAGTAGGTTTTTTTTCTAATGTAATATTTCATAAAACTAAAGTCTGACATCTAAAATGCGATCTATTTTTTGTGTTATTCTATACAAAAAACCAAGATAGAAGAACGTGAAACTAAGTTGAAGTAGACATTTCTGATGATGGTATAGTCATTCAACATTATTTAATAAACGAACAGAAACATGTTTAACCAAAGTTATTAATGAATTATCATTTTCAACACTATGTCTAAACGACATATAGAGAAAAGTTGACACAATTATAAAACAAATGCAAAAAAAAGCTGATATATCATAACTCGTTGGAATATGAAAGGGATATAGAAATATTTATTATATTATAGTGATCCCATTAAATACCTTTCATTTGTGACCGTTCATTTGATTTCTTCTAAGATCTAATTTCAGTAGTGTGTATAATATGTTTAAATGGATATTTTCAATTTATACTAAAAACATAACCTAATTTCGACATATTATAAATCAATCAATTTATCTTTGAAAGACAGATCAAACTGTGTAGTTTTTATTAATTGACTTTGATTGTTTGCCAGATTAGACGCCCATAGTTTATATTTATGAGAGAATTTAGATATTTGTCTAGCAACTCAAAACCTGGACTAGAAGATTCATTTTAAGGAACTTTATAGAACGTTATATGACGAGGATTGCTTCTTCTCTTCCACGTTTACTTTTGAAGTTCAAGGAGTTTTTATCCTTCCTATATAGGCTTTTTGTTTCAGCCACCATTGGATCAAATAAATAGCGGAAAAAATGTTTTTCACATACTTTTGAAGGAAAAGAACGGAATGTACGATTCAGATATTTTATAAAGGAAATTGTTAAAATCATCTGAAATAAAATCAAGAACAAGTGAAACATTTGTTTTCTGATTTGATAGAGAGAAGTTGCTTTCGAATTTCATTTTAACAAAAAAGTATCGCATAATAATAAATTTTCCCGCAGTATCATTCGTTTAAGGCGTTTCGTATGAAGATCGATATTTTCTTACTACATTTGTAGGTCGTATATGAAAACTCGAATCTTGACATTATTGAGAAAACAAAAAATATTCTTTCTGTTCGTGACAAACAAACTAAAAAATAAGTTCTCGTAAGAAAAACAGAAATTATTAATTACAAGATAGAAAAATATCGACTAAAGCACTGCAAATCACCCGGTGAGACATTTCTCAAACGATTAAATGTCTTGTTAGATACCAAATAAAAAATGGCTGTAATATAACAATAGATAACAGTAAATAGATTCGTCGTTTATTTCCACCGTAAACCGACTGAGAACCCATTTCTGACAAAATTTGTAATCGAAGACTTTTGACAAGAAAATAAGATAATGCTAAACTAACGTATAAGAGGATTCCATGATAAATAAACAACGAATTTGTTATTAAATAAGCACCCACGGCACAGATCATTCTAAAAATACAACATAAAACTATCAGAAAACACTCTGACAATTCAAACCTTGGAAAGATGATGCTTAGCAGAGATCATCAAATCTTGGAAAGCTTATTCATGCCAATATTTACGGGTATCTCCCTCTTTTTAGAAAATCTTTTTGATTGTGAGTTAAACGGAAATTTTTTGCTTGATCTGTCTATATATTTACCCAACATATTTATATCCACAATAAGCGATAAGATCAAGTGTTCGTAGTTTTGTTTGTATTCCAAATATGTAAAATGTCAAGCATAGTAAGCCAACTTCAAGAATAAACCAAACGAAAACAGAAGTTGAATGAAGACCAAGCTGTTCAGGAGAAAATCTAAAAATATAAAGGGTAATATACTCTAGAGAAGGTCCAGTCGGAAGAACTTTAACATACTACATACTTGTTTTGTGTTCCAAGAGCTAAACCAGCGATCAGAACGTATGTTAAGGCACTCATCACTAAAAATAAGAAACAAAATAGGTAATGCAAAGCAACTCTATCTACTTTAAAAAAAATCATTCATTCGAGATGAGATGATTGTATTATCTCAAGATGACATAGTTCGACTAAAAGCTAAGTTGTATAAGCTGTAAAAAGTACGATATCAGCAGGGTGTCAAAATCCAATTTTTTGAAATTAGGAGTATTTTGTAAAAAATCAGGAGTTGGTCAGAAGATATGTTTTTCGAAATCCGGAGAAAAACAGGAGAGTATCAGGCACTTTTTTCTTCGACAAGCAAAACAAAAAAATTCAATAACTTTTTCAAAATATATTTTGTTTGAAATATGTTTTGATGAAATAGTATTATCATTTGTTACAGACTGCAGGATGGATTGAGGAAGAAGATTCTTGATCCAGAATTATTTTTCTGAAACTGATAATCTCGGTTTTGGAAAAGGTAAAAGCGATGCAGAAAAACAGTTGAAAATGAGTAGAAATCAGGAGAAAATCTTTAAAATCAGCTCCTAAAACCAGATCTGGCAACCCTGGATATCAATTGATTTATCAATGGTCTCAAGATATAAATTTTTGTCAAATAGTTACATACGTGGTATATAATAATCCGGTGCATTTAGATCAACACGTGGTGGTACGGGCTCATCTGCGCTATATTCCAATGACCAATTCTAATATATATACAAACATTTTCTGTTTTTAAAGAAAATAAAGGTAGATTTTCTTAGAAACATACTCGCGGTCGAAACGGGAAGAGTAGTAAAGACAATTTGTTCATGACATATTTCGTATCAACAGCAAAGTAATACTTTATTGATGTTATTGATCGTTTTACCTAAATTTAGAGTCATTCTACAAATAACAAACTCATGAAAAAAATTTTTTGCTTGGTCAAAAAGTGATCAGCCATACTTCGTTTGGTAATAATTCTTGACCTTTTTGTGTGATCATTGTCGTATACTGTCCAGCCATTTGTGTTGCTACGTTGACTAGTGGATTTGATAAAAAGTCAATTCCACCAGGTGGAAGAGATTGTTGTTGAGATGGTGGCGAATAAAAGACATTTTGAGGCGTATAGAAATTACCGGTAGGCATTTGAGAAGTACCAGCCATACCAACGCCGTATGGATTTTGCGGGGGAACTGACGGCATAGGATAATGACCTAAAAATACAAAAATAAAGATTAATAATATAGCAAACAGTTATTGCTATTTTTTCTCATACCGTAAGTATTTTGTTGATCAAAGTTCTGATTTTGTTGTGGTTGATAATTCGTAGAATGACGCATATCATTATCTAATGGCATAAAACGAAATTTATAAGAAATGAAATACAATGTCGTGACTGATTTTTGCTTACTTGTAGAAGACGAACTCATTTTAAGTCAATAGAAAGCTAAAATCAAATAATCTTTAGATCTAAAACAATAATCAGATCGATGAATGAATGCACTTTTAAGTTGAGAGACCAACAAATCAGTTTTTAATACGGACATTCGTTTTAGTAATTCAGAACAGAAACACAAATGTAAGGTTAAATTAATAAAAAAAATAAAATAAAAATGATCCGTATATGACAAATGCATTTGTTTCTGTTGTTACATTATCGCGAACAAAAATTTCGGGAAACAAAACCATTTGAAAGAACTCATGACGGTCGTACATCGTAATGAATAAATAATTTCATTTATTTTCACTTTTATGAACAGTCTGAATGTGCCCAGACAGAAAAAAGTGAGCAAGAAAATCTAGCTTATCAAATAACTCAACCGTCCGCTTCATTGTAGATTTTTTTGAGTCAAGTAGCTAGCTGCGCCGATCCAGTGCCCACTTGCTAGCTGCAAGCGGCCAATCCAGTGGGCGCTTAATTGAGCGATTAGCGTCGAATTCAAACATATCAGCTAACTTCAACTTGCTTAAGCTAGCTTTGACGGGTTAAAAATTGGATCAGATAGCTGCAAGTGCCCACTTCATCATCTTTTTTTCTGCTTGAGATGAATATGTATTGACGAAAAACACTATGAGTTGCTGATTTACTATGATATTTTGATTTTGTATTTCCCATTTATCAAACACTTTAATGTTTATAGTAAAGGAATCTGATTTGATTTAACCTTGTTTTGTCTCATTTTTTAATATAGTTTAAAAAATTTCATTAGAAGATCATTGAGATATATTACAATAGTCTTGTTAATAACGATTATCATAAAATACATCCTCGGGTTTTAATCAATTGATCACCAATCGAACATCTAAAATATATTTAACGACAGATTGAATTAGTGCATGAAAAACGTTCTCTGAGTAAATACATGTATCGATCAATACTATTATAAGATGAACATTCATTTTATAATGAACTTGAGCACGCTATAATTTGTTTTACTTTTTGCTATTTTGAAAGTTTTTAATTTTGAAACTGTACTATTAACGGTTATTAAGGGCCCCACCCTCAGAAACGATGATCTTTGATCAAAAAATCGATTTGGGGATAAACACATGGAAACATGGTCTGAAGTGTCTACTTTCAGAATCTGTATCGCTTTCGGTCCTAGAAGTGATTTTTTCTCGCTTTCAAGCAAGTTTCTAGGAGCCTCAGAAAACAGAACTTCCAAATAATAGTTTTTTCCTGAATACTCATGTAATTAAATTTTTTTCTGAACATGTAGGTTTGTAGAACAAACTTTTCTGATCAAAATAAGACCTCGCACAATTCTGTACAACCCTGCTTCGAAAAGTTACAAGCATTTTCCTACAAGTTCTAAAATGGATCAACTGATGCACAGCATTTTCTCTCAGAACACACCTTTTGTGCAGGCATGCCCAGTGTACGGCACTTTTTTCCAATAATGTTTCATTGTAGAGAGACTTTCTTTTTTTAATCGAAAGAACGAAGAATTCTACATGGGCTGATGGGAAATGATCTTTCAATTAGACCTTAGTTGTTTAGAAAATCAAGGATTTTCAGAAAACTCAAACAAAGATTTGGATTTTTTGAGGCTGTTGGAACTCTAGAAAACGAACAATGACTTAATTGAAAAATCGGCACCGATCAACTCATCTAGTTAGGTGTCTAGTTTAAAATAAAACAAACCCGAACTCGCTAGGTTGAAGTATATTAAAAATTTTTGAGAAAAATTTCCGGGTCTCTTTTGAACCTTGATCTCTGAAAAACTCCTAAACGGTAAGACTTGAAGACAAAAAACAATTTTCATTCCCATAACTCACTGTGCCTAACATCTATGAAAAATTTCATCAAAATCGGTTGTACGATGTCGGAGATAATTTATGAGCGGAGCCTCTTAAAAACTAAAGTTAAACCTTTATCAAGTACGTCGTTGACGATATAACTGAAAACAGATGAAAAACGAGATGACTCGATCATGCCGTCTTAAGACGTTTTCATTAATCACGATTAACTCGTTGTACTTCACTTTCGTTATAAAAAAGATTCATACATAAGGACATTGTGTTCTTGAGTTTGTTTGAATATAATATTCGTATTATATCTGTATATCTGAACACATTGCATATATGTGCATTGATAATACTCTTGATTTAATACTGTTTCTCAATTCATTATATTCTTACAGTTTGTTTATGAATCTGTTTCCATTGTTCAACATTTCTCGGCATTATGCCAGAATTTAATGTAAATAGATAAATAACACAACATGAATATTTAATTATTGAATCAGATTATTAGATAAAGTTAATTTTTTATTCTCTAATTTGATTTTTGGTCATTAATGTGTTCAAAGTCTTGATCTATCATTTGCTGCTGTAAGAATAATAAACAATATCTTTGTAATGGAAATACTGGTGAACAAACAGTCGATAATTTTAACATTTCGACTTAACATTTGATTCCAAAAAAAAGAGAATGAGCTATTAAATGCTATTGACTTTTACAAAATCAATTTTTGTCTAGAAATTAAAAGTTATTCCATCTAAACACTAGTTCATCAATGATTATTTCTCAAAAAAATATTTCGTTGTATTTTCTGTTGAATATGTCTTGTTTCTTGTGATTTTTCAATATGTTCCTACTCTTATTTTACAAAGGGTTCTCGTTTCAGCTGAATTTTAGTCTATAGTTTTCTAAAGATGAAAAAAATGAGATATTGACGAATACGCGAAAAATAAATTTTCCTTTTTTTAAAGTCTATTGATCGATATCGGCAAAGGTTTTTTGAAACATAAAAAAAAACGATGTCAGGTACTCAAAATTAAGCATTTGGGCATATTTATACTAAAAGTTAGATGAATTAGAGAAGTCCGATTAGGTGTCTGGAGAACAATTAAACTTTGGTGAACAACATTAATGAGAAAACAAAAAGTGAAAACTGTTGAATATTACGAAGGATGCATCATGTCTCCGATCGTGACACATCTTAGTATCTAATTATTGAAGAAAAACTTTTCGTCGCTTTTACATAACTATTTCGATCAAAGTAATGGGATCTATTCTGGTAAACCAAACAAGAAGTCATTCTGAAATTTAGGGATTATTTGTGATTAGAATTACTTAACAGTCTGTGAAGATGTCAACGAGATCACTGAACAATCATACTGTTCTTTTCGTTGTATATCTCGTATAATATTTCTTACGTTTCGATGCGAGCGATTTCTATAGGTGCTAGATAAACACTTCTGATAGTATAAAATAAAAATTGAAGTATTTCTTCTTGATGTTAGTAAGATATGAACAATAGTCAAATTCACCTTACATGTTAATCATCTACATTGAAGAGCTTTTCTTGCTAACTGTACTCAATATATTAATCTCAAAATACATTTGATAATTTCATCAAACAGTATCTAAAATGTGATTATAATATTAGACATGTCTGAAATTTTCAAAAGTCATACTCTTTGTATTTTGTATTTTTCATCTCTATCAACGAACGATACATGTGCACAGATAACAAAGAAACAAGAAGAAAAAAAAATCAAAACAAAATAACAAAAAATCAAAAGACAAACAAAAAAAAAATTCATTCATCATTATTAGTTTACATGAATTAAACAAACAAAAAAATAAACACAAGACAAATAGACCAATCAAAACAAATAGACAAACCAAAAATACATGCAACAAAGAAGAAAAGACAGAGAAATGAACAAAAATTTATTTAATATTTCCTAATACTTTAAATATCCCTGAGTAAGATTATTAGTAGAGTGAGAGAGAAAAATATCTGAAAAAATATTATTTAAGAATTGAATTTTTTGTTATTTCGACAATATTTTTAACATTTTTAAATGCTTGAATCCATTGTTGTTTATCATAAACATCGCGTGCTTGTAAAGTAATTGATGTTATACGACCGTCACTTGAATTATTTTCAATTGTTGAACAACGAAACACATTGCGTGCTAAAATAATAAAAAAAAAATAAAGAATAATAAATATTAAACTATTTATAATTCATTATTGTTTCAATTATAGTAATTTAATAAAAAGATTTCTTAAACGAGATAACTTAGATGATAATCTATTTACCTTGTTTTGTTCCACTTAGTGTTCGACTAAAACTTCCCGTATTTAATTCTTGTATTTTACATCCATCTTCTAAATCTTCAATTAATAGTAATTCAATCGGAATTGGATAATTTGTTAATTGGTAACATTTAACATCATTTCGTGTAGCAATTCGTGTAAATAATAATATTTCTTCAAATAGAAATACATGTAATTTCTGAAAAAAATAAAAATATTAAAGAAATAGTTTAGAACAAATTGATAAATAATTCAAATTCTCTAACTTACTTGTCCCCGTGTATTTTTCAATTCTCCTTGACACAATAATTTTGTTTGTTTATTAATTAGAGAATTTTTCTATAAAAATTAAAAATGTTAAGTAAACTTTTTAATTATAAATATTTGTTCAAGTTCTTTGTAACTACCTGTTCATCGCTTGTATAAATAAGTCTCTGTATAACATTTGTACATAATGCTGCTGATATTGCTTGACTAACATCATCAATCAATTCTTCAACAAAATTAATCTGAACAAAAACAAACAAAAAACAAAAATCAAATAATATCATATAAGATATGTGTGTGAGTCAAACTCAGTCAGATACTTACTGTTTCTAATAAAATACGTTTGTCTTCATGGCCATCTTTTGTCTAAAAATAAAGAAAAAATAAATTTATATTCAATTTATTTGACCTTCTTCAATTGTCTAAGAAGTATTGATTGCCACTTTGACATAAAGTATGTAACTGTATGTCTGAAAACGTACATCATTTATCGATGAACATTTAATTTTTACAGATTATTTTCCTATTACTTACTCAAATCGTCAAAATACATTATATACACTTTAACGTGAAAATATTCGAGTAAGTAGATGAATTGAATTTTTAGTATTTTATTTTTTATTTTTTAAACTTTAACTCTCATCTCTTCAGTTCAATGGCACTGAAATCGGGTTACCCCATTGCATCTGTGTCCAAGGGTACCGAGACAATGAACATTAGATAGCTTGTCCAAGACTATCACGCGACTGCTGTTGCCGGGATTCGAACTCGGTATGTTTGAAGTATGTTGTCTGCTCCCTAGCCGACTGAGTCACACGACTTTTAGTATTTAGTCGAACTGTAGCTTAATAAATTTTGTCTGTATCAGTCAAATCAATTTTATAGAAAAATCTTACATTATTGAAGCAAAACAAAAGAACAACACATACTCTTTTCTGTATTCGTTTAAACACAATTGGATATTTCATAAGTCGTGATCTTGGTTGATCTAAAAATGGCAAATACAAACAGTTAGAATAACTTTCTGTTCTTCGATTGTTTTATAATACCTAAAAAATCCCATAGATCTAATTTTCTACTAAATCCAGAATCTGTACAACGTTGTAAATAATCTTCAACTCGAACATTTTGTCGTTTTTGATCAAGTAATTCTTTTGCATTTATTAAATTTGAACAATAAGATACATATGATGAGCGAATACGTTGAAACTAAAATGAAAAATGAAATTTATTAATGAACAAATCGTAAGCGAGTTAAAAAGCCAAAGTTCAACTTTTTTATTCGTAGTTTTGTTCTAGTAGGTAATTCGTCATATATTGTTTTTAAGGTAAATTATGTCTCATTTGAAATTAGACTAAAGAATCTAGTTATCTGATAAATTTCCATTCAAATCTTCAAATGGGAAGTTAATCATTCGGTCTACATCTATTGTTTGTAAAAACTCTTACCCATTCTAAATAAATATTCCCAACAGCATCAATAGACGCGCCATATTTTGGTTTAAGACGATATAATAGGTCTAAAAACAAAAAAAAATTGAGGATTTAGTCGAAATACAACAATGTTTCAAGATAGATGTGAGTGTGTACAAACCTTCATGAAGCGGGAGTATATCTTCTAATGGTCCAAATATTTTTTTCAATTCATCGTCTGATAAAATATTTAATGTTTTCATTCCATTTCTATAAACCTAAATTCATATATTTTTTTTACATTATGATTTTTAATATGAATCTAAAAAAAATAAAATCTCTTACTCTTTGTGCTAAACCTAAATTTTCTACTATTTTTTCTTCTTCTGAAATCAATTCATAAATAACGTTTTGACGTTCTACTTCATGTTCACTCATTGTCTGTTTCAATGTTTCGTCACATGTTTCTGACCATGTTGAACAGCGAAATTTTTTTATTGCCGATGTTGGTAATAATGATTTTTTATTTGTTTGTAATTTTAAATCTTGATGTATTGTTGTTGTTGATTTTTGTGTACACATAATATTTAAAACACGATCACGCATTGGACTTAATAATTCTGATACTGAACTTAAACGTGGTAGAGATAAACGTTTATTAGTTTTACGTAAATCACCAACAAATTCTTCAAGACTACGTAAACTAACGGTATCAGGATCTAACATAGGTAGTTGTGTAGGTTTTCGTTTTCGTTTTAATAATCGTTTTTGAAATGATTCTTTTGTTCTTGAAGAAGATGATGTTGTAGAAGAAACTGAAGTTGTTGAATCAAATAATGAATCGAGAACATTAGAATCCATAAATTCGGAAGGTGCATAAGGAAGTTTAAATGAATTACCACCACTAAACATGATGTCCGATGTGTAATTAAATAATCGCTTTTTTTTACAACATTTTTAGATCTAAAAAGTTTGAAACAACCTAAAATAGATGAACTAGTCAGTATTCTCAAAATCATCTCGTTTTTTTTCCCATGGTCAACTAAGTCGTTACTTCGCCTTTAAAGCCAAAATTGAATTTCCTATTCTTAATTGTGTTAGCTATCACACTTTGAAATGATTGGCACATACTCTTAAAATTTCCACTAAATGCATATAAAACTTCACATACTTACTTCAATAAATTACCAATAAAACCAAAAAACCCTTTGTATTAGAAAAAAACCTCAAATTCTATTACTATCTGCTAATAAATTTTGATTGTTTTTGTTACTGGTCATCTTTGTTTTGAGATATGTGCACAGAAACACTTACACACACACACACAAATTGAATTACAGATTTTCTATATTTGATCTAATTAGTTAAAAACATAAGAAAAACAATCGTGTTAAGCTTTTCATTAATTTTTTGTTTATATAGATGAGAATAATATTTAAAACAAAAAAATTTAGTAAATAAATCTATACTTACTTATATGTGAGAAAATAGTACGAATCAAACTGACCTATGAACACATACAAATTTATAATAGTATGTAAAAATAAATGAACATTTTTTTTTTACACATAATGAAATCATATTTTCTATCACTTATAGACACACACTACGATACAATGAGAGAACATTATACTACTACTACACTATTGTTTGTCTCAAGGTCAATAGATTTTTGAGTGATTTAAAATAAAAGAAAAACTATGCAGCTGTTGAGCAGTATATTAAAAAGATAATAGAATTGTTCATTATTATATATACAAGAGAAAAAGAAAGAACATTTACGGAACACAATAAGCCACAGTTGAAAAGAAAGATCTACAAATAGAATTAAGAGAAGAAAAAAAATCTTCATTTTCTAGTTTTTTATTTAGTTTTTTCCCATAATCTTTAAAGGAAAAACTATCAAAAAACTGATAAACTTAATATCAAAAGCATATCTAAAATTCTAGGATTGATAGTTTCGAGGTATTCAAATTCATCTATACCTCTAATCTTATTTCTAATATATGAATAAGAAATGTTTCCTAGAAAAAATTCAGATTCACTAAAATTAATTAATATTGGTAACTTTAAAAACTGTGTACTGAAACTATTCAACGATTCAAACGCTTTCATCTACTTAACTTTAAGACATAGAAGTATATTGTCAATCAATCCAACAACTATAAAGAGTATAGTAAATATTACTTTATAATATTCCAAACAATGTAAAGAATAAGATATTATAGTCAGGTTGTCATTGAACATTAGGTATAATTAAATTATAGTTTATACACACTCACGTTCTCTAATGTAAGTTACTAATGATACGTGTATTATAAGTAGTTAATCTAACCTAGATCTAAATATATACAAACCAAACCAAATCATTGTCAGTTCATTATTCATCATTCATATTGATATGAAAAAAAAAACTCAAACCATCTGTTTGATAAAGCTTGTCAAATGGTCTGATCTATCATCGAGTACAATAGTAATTGAACGCTTATACTTCTAATCTAAATATTTGTTCGTTTTATATATACATGTATAAAAATCATTTCCAAATGTTCAGCAAAAAACCTTGATATCGAGAATACGTTTTTCTCTTATATAAGAATATATGTTCATAAAACAATGAATGAAGAATATGTGTCAATGATGATCAACTCAACTCTTTCGTTACGTTTACATCTAGTTCTTATTACGTAAATCTACCCAGCGATGAAGAACAAAGATAACCTGACAATTTAAAGTAGAGAGCAACGTTTTCACTTGTTTATTATTTTTAGTATCCTTGTCTTTTAGCAAATTCCAAATTTCAAATTCTTAACAAGATCAAAATAAAAAAAGAATATAAAAGATGTGAATGAAAACACATCGACTAACCTCTCATCCAACAGCAAGTAACAACAAACCGAACAAAATCCGTAGTATTTGACATTCATTGCCGAAAGAAGATATGATTGACTTTGTTTATTTTAGCGAAAGATAGTTAATTATCAAAATTGGATCAATATCTTAACCTTGAAACTGACTAATCCTTTCATGATTAATTCCATTTTTTGTTGTTTTCTTTTCTTTGTCTTTTTTTCGATGAGCCACTTACTTTGCTCTGTTCTCGATATGTAATTAGTTTTGGCTGATATGTACATAAATCAAAACCTCTTAACATGAGAATGTATAAGATTGACTAATTAAACAATGTGCAACAAAATAACAACAGAAAAGCAATTTATACTTTGATTACTCTTATCAGGATAACGCTTACTGATTATGCTTATTAGACGATCAAAAGTACGACTAACTGCTTGATTATAAACAAAAACAAATCCTAAAACAGAACAAAAGAAAAGGCAATGTTCTGTTTATTTTGTCTATTCATAACTATGTTCTAGAACTGAGCTATTTATATAATCAATAAAAACGCGATAATTTGCCATTTTTTTAACACGATGTTTAATGCATTTCATTTCTCTTTCAACAAAACACAAGTGTGAAATATCGAATTCAAAAAACTGATAAATTTGTATCCTTGAAAGGGCGCCAGGTAGAATGTTCGAGCGGTGTGCTTTTACTCTCTCAAAATTCACGCTGTTTAAAAGAGATATGTTTCCAGAACAGCGTTTCTAATTATTGGTGGCCCAATGAAACTGTCCATATATTCTCAGCCGAGCTAGTTTCCGTTAAAATTTGAGAGAACAACAGTAAAGTAAAGAAAAACGTGCAGAATGCAGTGATAAGCTGTAGAAAACTACTGTGGGCAAAATTTTCATTAGAAACACTGTTTCTAATGATTGGTAGCCCGTGTGAGAGCAAAGTGATTTTTCACCTTGAAAATTCGATTTCCACTCTGGTTTTAGCAAGGAAAATATGGAAAATGCAGGGGTAAATTGTGGAAAACTACTTTGCTTAAAGTTCTCATTAGAAACACTGTTTCAGAAGAACATTTCAACAAAACTCATATGTAGTTTTTATTTAGCCGACTATTGAAGTCAAAATTTAGGTATTGATTTAAGTCGTTCGTACTGTATCAAAAAATTTTTAGTTTGGACTTAAATGAAAAGTATGTTCCAAGCTAATGGAAATGAACACAGGTGAATCATTGATTTAAGACGGTTCTTCTCTAGATCGATCACACTCCCTAGTGTGGTGTGTGATCGAAATTCAAAAATATGCTCTGTTTGACGCTTTGGTGAGAAAACCAGGGCGTTCAGTGTACGCTTTGCTATTGTAAACAGCGATAGCGATAGCAGCTATCGCTGTTTATGCTTTGTTTTCTAATAGAACTTTTTTTATATTTAAGAGGGAATAAGAAAATTTTTTTTAACTAGTGAGTCATTCTGCTGTTTAGAACATAGAACAGACACACTGCGACGCACTTGAAGTGTGCCGATGATACACTTTTAGAAGTGGCACACAAAAAGCGTCCAAAACTGCTACCGCAGTGTGTCGAAAGCACACTAGAAATGTGTCAATGGCACGGTAAAAGCATGCTAGCAGCAGACAAAAAGCATACTTTGCACACTTTTTCCATGCCATTGGCACAATTTAAGTGTGCTTTTTATAAAAGTATGCTTTTCCGGGACAGTGCAGGAGAGCGGTTGAATGTACCTGTTTTTTAATTCTCCTCTAATTTCTGATGCCTAATTGATGCTTTCTTTTTTAGAGTTGAAACGTGTACGCATTGCGAAAAAAAACAGAGTGTACGCATACGCTTTGATTGGAAAAACACAGCGTACTCGTACGCTCAGCAGATAAATTCGGTTAGAAACACTGCACCTAATCATAAGTAGAGTAAGTTGTTCGGAACAACTTGTGGATATTAATTAAATGAATTGGATAGCGAGGGAAAATAGGGAAGCATTATTACACTAAATTAATTTACTTTAACCTGTCTTTCTTTAAAAAACCGATGTCAAATATATTCTATAACTCAAATTCTATTCAATGGATTTCTGTATTGTCTATAAAATGTACTCTTCCATTGGATTTTGAAATGGTCCAATCAAAACGGGTTAGTGCATATATGACTTAAAACCCAAACAGTTTTGCTGTCTCTGTCGAAGCGACGCTTCTACTAACAATGCAGACAGCAATATCGATATCAATAGAATATTAGAGCGCGTACGTATCAGTATTCGTAATGATTAGCATACGCACCAAGATCGAAGCGTACGATGTAATAACTCCATCCTCTCGTGTACATCTAAGACTACAAGATTCGCGAAGCGGGAGAGATCTTCGACCTTAGTATAATAACCCTGTCAAATAAATAAATCAGACAAAGAAAACAGATGAAAAAACAAGATATAAACTTAGAAACAAAATAAAAGATAAAAGAAGTAATTAAAAAAAAAGAATTAACAACGCGGAAACATGCTTACGTCTCAGCATTCAAAAACGACAAAGGACGAGGAACGGTTTCTGCTAGAAAATGGCCCAATATGATTTCGAGTGAAAATGATCGGAAATGCTTCCCTCCTCACTTCCCACTCAAAAATTCATTCTGCTGTCTTTCAAACAAAAATTGCTTTTCATTTTTCGCCACCAGTTCAACAAAGGTCATTTACATTTTTTTTCGCAAATTTATCGTCCTATTTCACAGTCCTTGAGCAAAGCTCATACATAATAACACAGAGAATTTTCTAGGCTTCACAATAAGCTGTAAACAAGGTTTTCAAAAATATGCCCATACAGGACAATTGTCGAAATACTAGACAGATATCATCATTTTCACCTATCTTAACACTTTAAAGGAATATTTCTTGTACTCATCTACTCAGAA